CTATAGAAAATAACTGTCCCAATTGTTGGTACACAAAATTTCTATAGAAAATAACTGTCCTCTTTTGTTGGGACACAAATTTTTTATAGAAAATGACAGTTCCAATTGTTGGTACACAAATTTTCTATAGAAAATAACTGTCCCAATTGTGGGGACAAAAATTTTCTATAGAAAATAACTGTCCCAATTGTTGGGACACAAATTTTCTATAGAAAATTACTGTTCCAATTGTGGGGACAAAAATTTTCTATAGAAAATAATTGTCCCAATTGTAGGGACTCAAATTTTCTATAGAAAATAACTGTCCTCTTTTGTTGGGACACAAATTTTTTATAGAAAATGACAGTTCCAATTGTTGGTACACAAATTTTCTATAGAAAATAACTGTCCCAATTGTGGGGACAAAAATTTTCTATAGAAAATAACTGTCCCCTTTTGTTGGAACACAAATTTTTTTATAGAAAATAACTGTCCCAATTGTGGGGACAAAAATTTTCTATAGAAAATAATTGTCCCAATTGTAGGGACACAAATTTTCTATAGAAAATAACTGTCCCAATTGTTGGGACACAAATTTTCTATAAAAATAATTGTCCAAACTGTTGGGACACAAATTTTTTATAGAAAATAACTGTCCCAACTGTTGGGACACAAATTTTCTATAGAAAATTACTGTCCCAATTGTTGGGACACAAATTTTCTATAGAAAATTACTGTCCCAATTGTTGGGATACAAATTTTCTATAGAAAATTACTGTCCCAATTGTTGGGATACAAATTTTCTATAGAAAATTACTGTCCCAATTGTTGGGACACAAATTTTCTATAGAAAATTACTGTCCCAATTGTCGGGACACAAATTTTCTATAGAAAATAACTGTCCCAACTGTTGGGACACAAATTTTCTATAGAAAATAACTGTCCCAACTGTTGGGACACAAATTTTCTATAGAAAATAACTATCCCAACTGTTGAATCACAAATTTTCTATAGAAAATAACTGTCCCAACTGTTGGGACACAAATTTTCTATAGAAAGTAAATGTCCCAACTGTTGGAACACAAATTTTCTATAGAAAATAACTGTCCCAATTGTTGGGACACAAATTTTTTATAGAAAATGACAGTCCCAATTGTTGGTACACAAATTCTATATAGAATATAACTGTCCCTATTGTGGGGACACAAATTTTCTAAAGAAAATAACTGTCCCAACTGTTGAAACACAAATTTTTTATATAGAAAATAACTGTCCTAATTGTAGGGACGCAAATTTTATATAGAAAATAACTGTCCCAATTGTTGGGACACAAATTTTCTATCGAATATAACTGTCACAATTGTAGGGACACAAATTTTCTATAGAAAATTACTCTCCCAATTGTGGGGACACAAATTTTCTATAGAAAATTACTGTCCGAATTGTTGGGACACAAATTTTCTATAGAAAATTACTGTCCGAATTGTTGGGACACAAATTTTCTATAGAAAATTACTGTCCCAACTGTCTTTAGAAAATCTTTGTTCCAATGGTTAAAAGACATTGTTTAGACATTTCCCTGTGAAATACATTAATTTTCCTTAGAAAATTTTTATCCCAAATATTCAGGCTTGGAGAGATAAGTTATCTTCTTAGGAATTTCTCTTCTTTGTAGTGCATTGCCAATAAACAGACAGACATACAAACATATATATTAACTACAAAATAATGGTTTTTCTTTAACGATTTTATTAAGAATATAATATATATTAATAAAAAGCAAATAAATACATAAATTAACAGATAAAGAAATAATAGTTTTTAAACAAATTATACATATAAAAATACGTATATTATATACAGACATATAAATTATACAGAAAAAAATTAAAATACTATAAATATACATATTAATGAAAAAATATTAATTTAAATATTGAATAAAATATAAAATTACATAAAAAAACTATTTAAATAAATATATATTTCAAGTGAATAAAGAAAGTAAAAAATATAACAAACTTAAAAAAAAGAAAACCTAAATAAAAAAATAAAAACAACTTCAAAAAATACAAGTGTTTTACTGATGATAGATGATATTTAAATTGAAATTATCGGTTTAACTCTAGCAGTAAAATTTATACAGGATATGACTGAGATAAGATTGAAATACCTATTAAAGGTAAGTGTATAACAATTATATTTTTATATTTGAAATGGCAAAGGCTTCTTAACAACATAAATACATTTCACAATTTACAAATGGTAATGGAAAATTTTGAAAGACTTATTTATATTTGGTTAGGCTGCAATATTGTGGGTATAATGATAGCTGGATGGAAATTTCCTCAAACGTCTAGAAATCAACCCTTAAATATTTTATAAATTCAACTCAAATGAGAGTTACTTTTATAAGATGCTACTTTTATCTTACAAACACAAACAAATTTTGGGAATGCGTAGCACACACACAAATACACCAGTGATTCTCAAACACTAAAAGAATTTACATTTAAAGGACAGATTGACCCGTTAGTTGATAGAAATTATTTAGATATTTTCTAGATTAAAAATCTGTTTCCTAATATTTGACCTACTTTTCTCAATAGTAATTTGCACACCAATATTTGGGAAAGACATTTTCTATAGAAAATTTGTGTCCCAACAGGGACAGTGACAGTTATTTTCTATAGAAAATGTTTATCCCAACAGTTGGGACAGTTATTTGTATAGAAAATGTTTGTCCAAACAGTTGGGGCAGTTATTTATATAGAAAATTTGTATCCCAAAAGTTGGGAATGTTATTTTCTATAAAAAAATGTGTGTCCCAACAATTGGGACAGTTATTTTCTATTGAAATTTTTACAGCTGGACAGTTTTTTTCTATAGAAAACTTGTGTCCCAACACTTGGGTCAGTTATTTTCTATAGAAAACTTGTGTCCCAACAATTGGGACAGTTATTTTTTATAGAAATTGTATGTCCCAACAGTTGGGACAGTTATTTTCGATAGAAAATTTTTATCCCAACAATTGGGACAGTTATTTTCTATAGGAAATTTGTGTCCCAATTATTGGGGCAATTATTTTCGATAGAAAATTTGTATCCCAACAATTGGGACAGTTATTTTCTAGAGAAAATTTGTGTCCAAAAAGTTGGGACAGTTATTTTCTATAGAAAATTTGTGTCCCAACAGTTGGAAATGTTAGTTTCTATAGAAAATTTGTGTCCCAACAATTGGGACAGACATTTTCTATAGAAAATTTGTGTCCCAACAGTTAGGACTGTTATTTTCTATAGAAAATTTGTGTCCCAACAATTTGGACAGTTTTTTTCTTTAGAAAATTTGTATCCCAATAATTGGGATAGTAATTTTCTATAGAAAATTTGTGTCCCAGCAGGTGAGATAGTTATTTTCTATAGAAAATTTGTTTCCCAACAGTTGAGACTGTTATTTTCTATAGAAAATTTGTGTCCCAACAGTTGGGACAGTTATTTTCGATAGAAAATTTTTATCCCAACAATTGGGACAGTTATTTTCTATAGAAAATTTGTATCCCAACAATTGGGACAGTTATTTTCTATAGAGAGTTTGTGTCGCAATAGTTGGGGCAGTTATTTTCTATAGAAAATTTGTGTCCAATAGTTGGGACAGTTATTTTCTATAGAAAATTTGTTTCCCAATAGTTGGGACAGTTATTTTCTATAGAAAATTTGTGTCCCAATAGTTGGGACAGTTATTTTCTATAGAAAATTTGTGTCCCAATAGTTGGGACAGTTATTTTCTATAGAAAATTTATGTCCCAATAGTTGGGACAGTTATTTTCTATAGAAAATTTGTGTCCCAACAATTGGGACAGTTATTTTCTATAGAAAATTTGTAACCCAACAAATTTTCTTTTCTATAGAAAATTCGTATCCCAACTGTTTGGGCAGTTATTTTCTATAGAAAATTTGTGTCCCAACAGTTGGGACAGTTATTTTCTATAGAAAATTTGTGTCCCAATAGTTGGGACAGTTATTTTCTATAGAAAATTTGTGTCCTAACAGTTTTTAAAGTTTTTTGCTATAGAAAATTTGTGTCCCAATTATTGTTTGTTATAGGTAGAGGAAAAATGTCTATAATATTAAAACGCACCAATCTAACCGATCACGTTTTTCTTATCGTACCTAGGACTTTAAACTATATTTAAATTTAGTCCATCACCTCATTTAAAAGTAGTCAACAAAAAATATCTTATATCTTTGACAAAAGAAACAACTCATACATACAAGTGCAATAGCAAAAAAAAAAGTGCGGAAATTTTTAATCAAATACTTAAACAAAAGACGCACTAAAATAGACGAATATATAAAAACATCTTATCTCAACAACTTCAGCATACGTATACTGCATTTAACACTACAACAGATTAGGAACCTCTGTATTCTACGACGAACCGAGATACACTCTATATTAAAGGTCTCAGATTATTTCAATTGGAAAACCAAACAAAATGCTTTATCGAAAAAAAGCCAAAACATGTTCTTGCATAGAACTCTACAGCTGTTTGTTAGGGGAACCTCATGGCTAAGATTTTCAAAAAGTATGATGACCGCGCATATTCATACGAAAAAAAACCAAAACAAATAGATTTGTACAAATCTACAACCCAACAATGACTGACTATTTGGTTGTATCAGTCCGTCAGTCGTACAGTTTAGTTGTCGATGTTTTCAGCGTGTAGTCGTCACAATCAGTCATAACAATCGAGAGTAATGAAAAGCATATACGAGGGCTCTGAGACCGCTAGTAAAATCTATACACAGACACGCAAACGGTATGAGTATGAATGAAAAAAAAAGAACGCAGGCAATAGTTGTTAATGGTATTGGACTGGGTGGAGAGGTTCGGAAGGCATTCTATTTGATTTGATTTCGTTTCATTTTGTTGCTGTTGCTACTGTTGTTGCTGTTAATATTGCTATTGCTGCTGCTGTTGTTGTTTTTCTTAGTGGTTGTATATGAGTGTATTATAAAAACATACAACACATTCGTTAAATTTGTCATTCGTCTGACAATTTGCAAACGTTCAAATAGAAAACGGTCAAATACAAAAAAAGAACAAGCTTTTCAGTCGTTGTTTTTCTAAACTGTTGTAAACAACTACGAGATTTGTTCTTATTAATTTTTGGTTGTTTTTAATAAATTAATTTAAACGTTAAAATTTTTAAAGTTTTTTTTGAAAAGTGTTACATTTTTTTAAATAAATAATTCTATCAAAATGCCTTTTGCACGGGAACAACTTGAATCGGTCATCAATGAGAAATTATGCAAATCCGAAACTATTAAATTGAGAAATAAACATATTGGGTGAGTTTTATTTTTAATTTTAATTAAAATAAAATGTTATTGAAAAATTGGGACCGATATTTTTGATAGAAAATTTGTGTCTCAACAATTGGGAGAGATATTTTCTATAGAAAATCATTGTCCCAACAATAGAGACAGATATTTTCTATAGAAAATCTGTGTCCCAAAAATTTAGCTGACACTTTCTATAGTGTTCCAACAATTAGGACATTCAAATTGGGACAGTTATTTTCTATAGAAAATCTGTGTAACAAAAAATTTGGACAGGCAAATGCTACAGAAAATCTGTTATTCTAGAATTAGAACAGACATTTTTCTATAAGAAAACTAAGTACCAACAATTGGGACAATCTATTTCTAAAGAAAATGAATGTCCCAAAATTGTAAATACTATCTCCATTTAAAAATACCTCCTTTGTTTTGCTCATTGCGTCGCTTTCGTTTTGTCTCTTAATCAAGAGCTGAAGGATTTATGTATCCTTGAAGGTTATTTGCCACTTTTTCAAAAACACATTTTCCTTTCTTTGTCAAGGTCACGAATCTTGTTGCCAACTAGAGAATTATTTCATGAACTTATTTTTTTTGGTTGCGTTTTTTATTTTGCTACAGTAAATAATGACTTTTTTCTGCTCAAGATGAGTTCGTTGGATTTTTTAGTTCGTGAGATATTATTTGTACCTGCGTACTAATTCGCATCTATTTGTTGTTCTCTTTGTTTAGATATTCGAAATATTTGTTTATAACAAAAAAAATCTATTTTGTTTATAAACAACCTGTTTATTTGAGATAAAAAGTATACAAATAAATTTTGTTTACTTTGTGTAGTTAAGAGGAAATAGAAATATCTAAGGAAAAACACTTTCTATCTGAAAGTCGCAAAAATTGTGACAAATTGTTCTATAAGCTACTTTATATTACTTAAATTTTTAATATAATTTAATAAAAGCCAAAATTACATTTCCTTTTAAGAATCAGGCTATACTATATACCGTGCTATAGACTAGACTATATTTCAGACTAGACTATAGACTAGACTATAGACTAGACTATAGACTAGACTATAGACTAGACTATAGACCTAGACTATAGACTAGACTATAGAACTAGACTATAGACTAGACTATAGACTAGACTATAGACTAGACTATAGACTAAGACTATAGACTAACTATAGACTAGACTATAGACTAGACTATAGACTAGACTATAGACTAGACTATAGACTAGACTATAGACTAGACTATAGACTAGACTATAGACTAGACTATAGACTAGACTATAGACTAGACTATAGACCTAGACATAGACTAGACTATAGACTAGACTATAGACTAGACTATAGACTAGACTATAGACTAGACTATAGACTAGACTATAGACTAGACTATTGACTAGACTATAGACTAGACTATAGACTAGACTATAGACTAGACTATAGCCTAGACTATAGACTAGACTATAGACTAGACTATAGCCTAGACTATAGACTAGACTATAGACTGACTATAGCCTAGACTATAGACTAGACTATAGACTAGACTATAGACTAGACTATAGACTAGACTATAGACTAGACTATAGACTAGAACTATGGAAGACTAGACTATAGACTAGACTATAGACTAGACTATAGACTAGACTATAGACTAGACTATAGACTAGACTATAGACTAGACTATAGACTAGACTATAGACTAGACTATAGACTAGACTATAGACTAGACTATAGACTAGACTATAGACTAGACTATAGACTAGACTATAGACTAGACTATAGACTAGACTATAGACTAGACTATAGACTAGACTATAGACTAGACTATAGACCTAGACTATAGACCTAGACTATAGACTAGACTATAGACTAGACTATAGACTAGACTATAGACTAGACTATAGACTAGACTATAGACTAGACTATAGACTAGACTATAGACTAGACTATAGACTAGACTATAGACTAGACTATAGACTAGACTATAGACTAGACTATAGACTAGACTATAGACTAGACTATAGACTAGACTATAGACTAGACTATAGACTAGACTATAGACTAGACTATAGACTAGACTATAGACTAGACTATAGACTAGACTATAGACTAGACTATAGACTAGACTATAGACTAGACTATAGACTAGACTATAGACTAGACTATAGACTAGACTATAGACTAGACTATAGACTAGACTATAGACTAGACTATAGACTAGACTATAGACTAGACTATAGACTAGAATATAGACTAGACTATAGACTAGACTATAGACTAGACTATAGACTAGACTATAGGACTAGACTATAGACTAGACTATAGACTAGACTATAGACTAGACTATAGACTAGACTATAGACTAGACTATAGACTAGACTATAGACTAGACTATAGACTAGACTATAGACTAGACTATAGACTAGACTATAGACTAGACTATAGACTAGACTATAGACTAGACATAGACTAGACTATAGACTAGACTATAGACTAGACTATAGACTAGACTATAGACTAGACTATAGACTAGACTATAGACTAGACTATAGACTAGACTATAGACTAGACTATAGACTAGACTATAGACTAACTATAGACTAGACTATAGACTAGACTATAGACTAGACTATAGACTAGACTATAGACTAGACTATAGACTAGACTATAGACTAGACTATAGACTAGACTATAGACTGACATAGACTATAGACTAGACTATAGACTAGACTATAGACTAGACTATAGACTAGACTATAGACTAGACTATAGACTAGACTATAGACTAGACTATAGACTAGACTATAGACTAGACTATAGACTAGACTATAGACTAGACTATAGACTAGACTATAGACTAGACTATAGACTAGACTATAGACTAGACTATAGACTAGACTATAGACTAGACTATAGACTAGACTATAGACTAGACTATAGACTAGACTATAGACTAGACTATAGACTAGACTATAGACTAGACTATAGACTAGACTATAGACTAGACTATAGCCTAGACTATAGACTAGACTATAGACTAGACTATAGCCTAGACTATAGACTAGACTATAGACTAGACTATAGACTAGACTATAGACTAGACTATAGACTAGACTATAGACTAGACTATAGACTAGACTATAGACTAGACTATAGACTAGACTATAGACTAGACTATAGACTAGACTATAGACTAGAGATAGACTAGACTATAGACTAGACTAGACTAGACTAGACTATAGACTAGACTATAGACTAGACTATAGACTAGACTATAGACTAGACTATAGACTAGACTATAGACTAGACTATAGACTAGACTATAGACTAGACTATAGACTAGACTATAGACTAGACTATAGACTAGACTATAGACTAGACTATAGACTAGACTATAGACTAGACTATAGACTAGACTATAGACTAGACTATAGACTAGACTATAGACTAGACTATAGACTAGACTATAGACTAGACTATAGACTAGACTATAGACTAGACTATAGACTAGACTATAGACTAGACTATAGACTAGACTATAGACTAGACTAGACTAGACTATAGACTAGACTATAGACTAGACTATAGACTAGACTATAGACTAGACTATAGACTAGACTATAGACTAGACTATAGACTAGACTATAGACTAGACTATAGACTAGACTATAGACTAGACTATAGACTAGACTATAGACTAGACTATAGACTAGACTATAGACTAGACTATAGACTAGACTATAGACTAGACTATAGACTAGACTATAGACTAGACTATAGACTAGACTATAGACTAGACTATAGACTAGACTATAGACTAGACTATAGCCTAGACTATAGACTAGACTATAGACTAGACTATAGCCTAGACTATAGACTAGACTATAGACTAGACTATAGACTAGACTATAGACTAGACTATAGACTAGACTATAGACTAGACTATAGACTAGACTATAGACTAGACTATAGACTAGACTATAGACTAGACTATAGACTAGACTAGACTAGACTATAGACTAGACTAGACTATAGACTAGACTAGACTATAGACTAGACTATAGACTAGACTATAGACTAGACTATAGACTAGACTATAGACTAGACTATAGACTAGACTATAGACTAGACTATAGACTAGACTATAGACTAGACTATAGACTAGACTATAGACTAGACTATAGACTAGACTATAGACTAGACTATAGACTAGACTATAGACTAACTAGAACAGATATAGACTAGACTATAGACTAGACTATAGACTAGACTATAGACTAGACTATAGACATAGACTATAGACTAGACTATAGACTAGACTATAGACTAGACTATAGACTAGACTATAGACTAGACTATAGACTAGACTATAGACTAGACTATAGACTAGACTACCTAGACTATGACTATAGACTAGACATAACTAAGACTAGACTATAGGACTAGACTATAGACTAGACCTAGCTAGACTAGACTAAGACTATACAGACTATAGACTAGACTATAGACTAGACTATAGACTAGACTATGACTAGACTATAGACTAGACTATAGACTAGGACTATAGGACTAGACTATAGACTAGACTATAGACTAGACTTATAGGACTAGACTATAGACTAGACTTATGGAACTAGACTATAGACTAGGACTATAGACTAGACTATAGACTAGACTCTAGACTAGACTATAGACTAGACTATAGACTAGACTATAGACTAGACTATAGGACTAGACTATAGACTCTAGAATCGACTATAGACTAGACTATAGACTAGCATAGACTGACTCGACTATAGACTAGACTATAGACTAGGACTATACTACTAGACTATAGACTAGACTATAGACTAGACTATAGACTAGACTATAGACTAGACTATAGACTAGACTATAGACTAGACTATAGACTAGACTATAGACTAGACTATAGACTAGACTATAGACTAGACTATAGACTAGACTATAGACTAGACTATAGACTAGACTATAGACTAGACTATAGACTAGACTATAGACTAGACTATAGACTAGACTATAGACTAGACTATAGACTAGACTATAGACTAGACTATAGACTAGACTATAGACTAGACTATAGACTAGACTATAGACTAGACTATAGACTAGACTATAGACTAGACTATAGACTAGACTATAGGACTAGACTATAGACTAGACTATAGACTAGACTATAGACTAGACTATAGACTAGACTATAGACTAGACTATAGACTAGACTATAGACTAGACTATAGACTAGACTATAGACTAGACTATAGACTAGACTATAGACTAGACTATAGACTAGACTATAGACTAGACTATAGACTAGACTATAGACTAGACTATAGACTAGACTATAGACTAGACTATAGACTAGACTATAGACTAGACTATAGACTAGACTATAGACTAGACTATAGACTAGACTATAGACTAGACTATAGACTAGACTATAGACTAGACTATAGACTAGACTATAGACTAGACTATAGACTAGACTATAGACTAGACTATAGACTAGACTATAGACTAGACTATAGACTAGACTATAGACTAGACTATAGACTAGACTATAGACTAGACTATAGACTAGACTATAGACTAGACTATAGACTAGACTATAGACTAGACTATAGACTAGACTATAGACTAGACTATAGACTAGACTATAGACTAGACTAGACTAGACTATAGACTAGACTATAGACTAGACTATAGACTAGACTATAGACTAGACTATAGACTAGACTATAGACTAGACTATAGACTAGACTATAGACTAGACTATAGACTAGACTATAGACTAGACTATAGACTAGACTATAGACTAGACTATAGACTAGACTATAGACTAGACTATAGACCTAGACTAGACTATAGACTAGACTAGACTAGACTAGACTACTAGACTAGACTATAGACTAGACTATAGACTAGACTATAGACTAGACTATAGACTAGACTAAGATAGACTAGACTAGACTATAGACTAGACTATAGACTAGACTATAGACTAGACTATAGACTAGACTATAGACTAGACTATAGACTAGACTATAGACTAGACTATAGACTAGACTATAGACTAGACTATAGACTAGACTATAGACTAGACTATAGACTAGACTATAGACTAGACTATAGACTAGACTATAGACTAGACTATAGACTAGACTATAGACTAGACTATAGACTAGACTATAGACTAGACTATAGACTAGACTGTAGACTAGACTATAGACTAGACTATAGACTAGACTATGGACTAGACTATGGACTAGACTATGGACTAGATTTAAAAGCTAGTTACGGTTCTAGCTATCTGCTAGTTACCTTTCTTCCAGGCTTATTCTAGTTAAAAATAAGCTTTAATTAAAAATTCTTCATTCTTTCCTACTTCCAGACAAGCTTGTCAATTATTTTATCGCTCGGATCCCTTAAAAATTGTACGAGGTCAGGGTCAATACATGTATGATGAACAAGGCACACGCTATTTGGATTGTATCAATAATGTAGCTCATGGTAAGTGTTACAAATTTTTATCACTAATAGAAAAATTCCTTAAAAAAAAGATTAAATCTAATTACGCATTTTTTCGCAAACAAATTAAAACAAATTGCCCCCTCAGAATTAAAAATAATCTTAAATAAAAGTTCAAAAAAAGATCATTAAGTACTTTAATATCATTAAATAATCATTCAAGTACTTGTACTTGTATAGAGAGGAAAGCCGTCATAAACTTATTTTTTTACACATACAAAATGTTAATAAACTTTTGGTGCTGCCGTTATCAAAATTCTTTTTTTTTGTTTAATAACAAAAATTATCTCATATTATAAATTGGGCTATTGTTAAAACAACAACTTCTAACAAGTACTTGAAAATATATATATTTTATATAAACAAAGGCCTTAGCAATAATGTTTTTTTTTATATTTAAATGATTTGCTAAAATATTATTATGAAAGTAAAAAATTTATTGAGATTTTTATCTGCATTAGGCAGGTGAAAGTACTTGATACGTTTTAATTTCTATTTTGAGTTTATTTTTTAATGATTTAAAGATTATCTGCAAATCATATTATGAAGTCATTTTTAAAGGTTTTTGTTTATTTGTTTTTAAAAAAAATTTACAATCAATTAATTAATGCCAAGTGTATGAAATTAATGTTAAGGAAATTATAGAATGAAAACACTTTAAAATTTTTAAAATAGAGCTGAATTTTAAATTTTTATTATTTCATTGGAGTCTATCATTAGACCCTTGATTAGTATTAGTCGTGGAACCAGCTCTAGAAGTCAGTTTTAATAGATAAATACTTACAAATTTGTGCGTTTTTGGTCTCCTAGATCTAGAAAACAATTAGTTTAAGTTTTAGATTTTTAGTTTGAAATTATTTACTTAAGAGTTTAAGTTTTGTTTCATTGTTTACCTATTACATACATTATTTACATGGTGTAACCTATGGTGAATTTGTTGTATTTTCAAGTACAAGTTTTATTTTGCTTTAAATAGTTAATAAAACATTCTTTAGACATTTTTTACATAATATTTACATGGTGTAAACAATTCAAAAACATCGAGAAATCAATTAATAAATGTTAATATTTGATAGGAAATGTTGAAATATTCATAATTTTTAAAATTTATATGAATTATACATTGTTTACATGTTGTCATCTATAGTAAATAGTAGCGTTTCTTTAACTATAATGTTTATTTTACATTATTTTACTAGTTAAACGCTGTTTATACATTATTTACCTATTATTGACATTAGGTAAATAATTCAAAAATAATCTGAAATCCACTAACAAAATACTTTAATTAGCAAATTACACATTCTTTACGTGGTGTTGACATTTTACATATTAATAATATTCATATTTTACACAAATTATACATTATTTACATGGTGTAAACTATATCATTATTTTTTCATTTCTTTACTAAAACGTTTATTTGTTATTATTTACTTAATAATGTCGAATATACATATTATTTACTTATTGTTTACATTAAGCATCCATAAATTTCATACTTTACACGACTTATACTACATTTACAATGTGTAAACTATTCAAAACTTTTGTATTTTTTCAACTGCAACATTTATTATTCATTATTTACCTATTTATACAATATTTACATATTGTTTACCTATTGTTTACATTGTGTAAAGAATTCAAAAATAGCCAAAAAGCGATTTAAAATGTTATTAAATGATAAAAAATGCTATTATAACCATAAATTTCATGTTATACATGACTTATACATTATTTACACTGTGTAAACTATTGAAAAATTTTGTATTTTTCCAACTGCAACATTTATTATTCATTATTTACCTAATTATGCAATATTTACATATTGTTTACGCCATGTAAAGAATTCAAAAATAGCTAAAAATTTATTTAAAATGTTATTAAATGATAAAAAATGCTATTATAACCGTAAATTTCATGTTATACATGATTTATACATTATTTACACTGTGTAAACTATTGAAAATTGTTTTATTTTTCTAACTAAAGCATTTATTCTTCCCTATTTACCTAATTAAGCACTATTTACACATTATTTGCCTATTGTTTACGTCGTGTAAAGAATTCAAAAATAGCTGAAAATCGATTTAAAATGTTATTAATTAATAAAAATGGTAATATAACCATAAATTTCATGTTCTACATGTTATTTACACTGTGTAAACTATTGAAAAATTTTGTTGGTTTCTAACTACAATATTTATTATTCCTTATTTACCTAATTATACACTGTTTACACATTATTTACCTATTTTTTACATCGTGTAAAGAATTCAAAACTTGCAACAAATTACAAATTATAACCATAAATTTCATGTTCTACACAACTTATACATTATTTACACTGTGTAAACTATCGAAAAATGTTGTTGTTTTTTAAATACAATATTTATTATTCCTTATTTACATAATTATACACTATTTACACATTATTTACCTATTGTTTACATTGTGTAAATAATTCGAAAATAGCCAAAAAGCAATTTAAAATGTTATTAAATTATAAAAAATGCTATTATAACTATAAATTTCATGTTATACATGACTCATACATTATTTACACTGTGTAAACTATTGAAAAACTTAGTATTTTTCTAATTACAACATTTATTTTTCCTTATTTAACAAATTATAAACTATTTACACATTATTTACCTAATGTTTACATTATATAAAGAATATCAATGATATACACATAAATTTCATATTTTACACAAATTATACATTATTTACATGGTGTAAACTTTGACATTTATTATTCATTATTTCCCTAATAATAAACTATTTTTTATTATTACTTACCTATTGTATACTTGATGTAAACAATTCCAAATTCAACAGAAATCAACTAAAAATTTTGCTTTTTAATAGAAAATGTTTTAAATTAACATAATTTTCATAAATTACATAATGTTTACACAAGGTAAACTTATAAAAATAGCTTTTAAAATTACTTTTGAATTGTAAATGACAGGTTTTATTGCAAATTTTTATTATTATTATTCTACATGGGCTTCAAACATTTTGCAATGTTCTTTGTTTTTTTTTATTAAAATTGACATAAAAATCTCAAGTTCTCAGTTCTAATTTTTTGCTCAAAAAAGTATATTAAGTAATGTGTTTGTCTGATTTAGCTTTAAACATCTTTTAAGCTAAATTTACATTTATTTAACTAGAGAGAAAAAAATTCCATTCATTGATACATATTTATTTAACGTTTTTGTTTATATAAATATGCAAATAGATATCTAAACATATGCCAGCTATCATCTACAATTCACGTGTGATTTTTTTTGTATTTTTTTTCCTATAATTGTTTTCAAAGTTATCAATTATTTGTTATAAATAAATATATACAGCTGATTATTTTACTTCTATAACAATATACACAATATTATTTGTTTACAATTTTACAAACGTGCAGCGTAAAAAGGGCACTTAGTTAAGGCGTTATAGCACGTTTTCATCAATAGCAAGTTACGTATTCAATAAGAATGGAATTGTATTCATATTGTAAAATAACTGCGAAGAAAGTAAATTAATGAAAATATTCCATTACATATGTAAAAGGAGGGTGTGTACGTTGTTAATAAAATGATAAGTGTTTTTAAAACAAACAACTAAAAAGTTCAATTGCACTTAAATTAATCTAGGCAAATAAGAACAGAATTAGAATGTGTAATTTTAAAAAATTTATATAAATTAAAATTTATTAACCTGAAAACATAAATAGCTAAAAATTTATTCAAAAACAAGTTGTTTATGAACAAAAAATTTTTTAATAAAATATTAACCAATAAAAAAACTAAATTTATTTTAGTTTCCCAAAAACAAGCTCAACTGCTTGGCAGTCAACCAGCCACACAATCTCGTGAACTACACGTGATTGTCTAGTATACAAAAGTCTAAAATAATATAAGAGAAAAAAACTAAACTCTAGTGAACTAATTTTTTTCCTCAACACTTGTTCAAATTGCTTATCTTGTTCACTTTAATATTTGGCCCCCAAAAAATCAATTATCAACTAAATTAATACAATTTAGTAGAAAACATTTGTGAAGTATAAACACTTGTTAAACTTGTATAGTATAGTTCACGTGAACTTATATATACATATTTTTTTTTTTTTTCAAATAAAATTTATTATGTCATTTAAATTTATTGTCGTTTATTATAAAATAATCAAATAGAAACGTGTGTATATGCTGCTGCTAGGTATGTGTTATGAAATCATTTTTTGTTTATAGATTTTTAAAAAAAAGAATTGAAAAAAGAACTAAATTTTAAAATAAATTTAATTAGTTCAAAAAAGAGTTAAATACTGTATTATACAGTTAATAAAGTTAAATTAACATTTAACTCATTGTTTACCTATTGTTGACATCACGTAAACAAATAAAAATTTAACTGAAATCTTAAAAGTTATTATTAATTGATAGTAAATGCTATTATATCAACAAGTTACATAGTTTACACTTATTATACATTGTTTACATGGAGTAAAATATTGACAAATCAATATGTAATCTCATAATATACTAATATGTTAAAATGAAAATGTTAAAATCGTTATAATTGTTATAGTTTACACTAATAATACATTGTTTACATGGAGTAAAATATTGACAAATCAAAATGTGATTTCATTATATATTATTAATTGAAAGAAAATACTAAAAACTTTATAATAGTTATATTTTACACTTATTATACATTGTTTACATGAAATAAACTATTGAAAAAATGTTTGTGTCTTTTAGCCAAAACTTTTATTTAAAGTATTTGCCTGGTAATGCGTAATTTGAAGGTTCTTTACACAAATTATTCATTATTTACATGGTGTAAACTATAAAATAGTTTTATATATTTCCAGCTACAATGTTTGCCATGTTAATATCTTTATTTTTTACATGGAGAAAAATATTCACAGATCTAAATGTATTTTGTTAAGATATTACTACTTTATGTACATTGTTTACATGGAGTAAAATATTCAAAAATGCTTCTAATTGATTGGTAGCTAATATCTCTAGAATAGTCTTAGTTTGCACTTATTATACATTGTTTACATGGAGTAAAAATTAAATACTTGTGTATTTTTCCAGCTTCCATTATCATAGTTTACACTAATTATACATTGTTTACATGAAAAAAAATATTCACATAACAAAATACAATTTGATAAGATATTACTACTTTACTACTTATTGTTTACATGGAGTAAAATATTGAAAAATGCTTGTAGCTTTTAATTGATTGGTAGCAAACGCTAATATCTCTACAATTGTCTTAGTTTACACTTATTATATATTGTTTACATTGAGTAAACTATTGGAAAATTTTTACATCTTTTAACTAAAACGTTTATTTAAATTATTTTCCTGGTATTACAATTATGCATTATTTACATGGTGTAAACAATTAAATACTTTTGTATTTTTTCAGCTACAACTTTTATTTACATTATTTAGCTTGTGAAACATTGTTTACACACCTATTGTTTACATTTTGTATTTACCTTACAGTGGTTCATTATATGTATATTATTAACATTTAGTTTACATCATGCAAACAATTGAAATATTTATATTTTTTGGGGAAATGTCTCATAATTTATATATATTTTACATTGTTTACACTGTGTAAACTTTAAAAAATTGTTGTATTTTTCAACTATAATCTTTATTTACATAATAATTTAGCTAATAATACGCTATTGACAGATTATCTATTTATTGTTTACATTATGTTAAAGAATTCATTATTAACATGTAAACAATTAAAATGCATATTTTAATGTCATATTTTACATGAATTATACTTTTTAACACAGTGTAAACTATATTTTACATGAATTATACATTATTAACACAGTGTAAACTATTGAATTTTTACCTATTGTTTAGACAATGTAAACAATTAAAAGTTTTCATTTAAACAAATTAAAATATCACTGTTTAGTCAGGAAATTTACCATATGTTACTCTATTATACATTGTTTACATACCCTTTGTAAACAACATGTAATTTAGAAGTAACTTATGACATGTAAACAATGTATTTATGGTATAAAATCGTGTAAATATAATGATAATTGTGTAATTTTCTTATTTGTTTACATATTTTACCTCGTGTCAACATTAAATCACATTATGAAATATAATAAAAAATCGGTTTTAGATTCGTTTTGAATTCTTTTAGATCTACCGGAAAAAAGTCAACCGAATTGTAATCTTGTAAAAGTTTAAAATATTGTCAGAATTATTCGTTTTAATTAAAAACGTCACGTGTTCCGAAATACTCACATTATTTGGAATATTTTATTTCTACTTGACACTTGAACTTGTAAACAATATTTTACTGATAAAGAGTATTGTAAAACGTGAGTATTCTTGTTCAATTGTAAACATTTTGATTCATTAAAAAATATACAAAAATATTTTATTATTTACTTTATGTAAATACAAATTCTTTATGAAATTTGTAGATTCCTTATCATAAAAAAAATTCCTTCTTTCAACACAGAACCACAAAAATATCGAACTGATACCTGAACTTTTGAAATAATACTTCCTGCTCTGGTATATAAAACTGAAAGAAACTTCATTATTTTCTTTACATTGACTGTTAAACAAATATTTTTGAAATATTTAGAAATTTAAAAAAAATATTTAAATATTTTAAACTAAATATTAAACAGATTTTATTAAAACTTTCGAAAAACTTCAATTTCTTAAAGAAGAAAATATTCCGAAAAAATGTTTCGCGATAGTGCCTCCAATCAAATGATTGACTTCAAGAACAATATGACTACCCCGGTGGGTACCATAACCACGGGTAGTGGAAATCCTATAGGCACCAAAGATGCCTCCCTAAGCGTAGGAGCCAAGGGACCTTTACTACTGCAAGATTCAATATTTCTCGATGAAATGGAACATTTCGCCAGAGAACGTATACCAGAGCGTGTGGTATATGCCAAAGGAGCCGGGGCTTTTGGTTATTTCGAGGTCACGCATGATATAACCAAATATTGTGCCATTAAGATGTTTGAAAGAATCAAGAAACGTACTCCCATAGCTTGTCGTTTCTCCACCTATAGTGGGGAATTGGGTTCGGCAGATACGGTGCGTGAACCCAGAGGTTTTGCAGTGAAATTTTACACCGAAGATGGTATATGGGATTTGGTGGGTCAAAATTGTCCAGTATTTTTTATACGTGATCCAATATTATTTCCCAGTTTAGTGCATTCGCAAAAGCGTAATCCTCAAACTAATATAAAAGATGCCGACATGTTTTGGGATTTTGCCACCTTAAGACCAGAGTGTCTTCATCAATTATGTTTTATGTTTGGTGATCGTGGCATACCGGATGGTTATAGGCATATGCATGGTTATGGTGTCCATACCTATAAACTGATAAATGCCAAAGGCGAGCCTATCTATGCCAAATTTCATTTTCGTACCGATCAGGGAGTGCAAAATTTAGATGCTAAAAAAGCAAGTGATTTGCAAGCCCATGAACCGGATTATTCTTCAAGAGATTTATACAATTCCATTAGAAATGGTAACTATCCCAGTTGGTCCGTATACTTGCAAATGATGACTTTTGATCAGGCCAAGAAATTTAAATATAATCCTTTTGATGTTACCAAGATCTGGAGTTATACAGATTACCCTTTAATACCGGTGGGTAAAATAGTATTGGATCGTAATCCAGGCAATTATTTTGCTGAAATAGAACAATTGGCTTTTAGCCCAGCCAATATGGTGCCCGGTATAGAACCTTCTCCAGATAAAATATTGCAAGCTCGCCTATTTGCCTATGCAGATTCTCAAAGACATCGTTTGGGTGCTAATTTTTCACAAATCCCGGTAAACTGTCCTTATCGTGTGGCGGTTAAAAATTACCAACGTGATGGTTTTATGTGTGTAACCGATAATCAGGGTGGTGCCCCCAATTATTATCCTAATTCCTTTTCGGGACCTGAAATCTGCTCCCGTACTAAAGCTTTACAAACTTGTTGTCCTGTTGCGGGAGATGTTTTTCGCTTTAGTAGTGCTGATACGGAGGATAATTTTAGTCAAGTTACCGATTTTTGGGTTTTGGTTTTAGACGATTGTGCCCGCAAACGTTTGGTCAATAATATAGCCGTTCATTTGTGTTGTGCTAGTGTTTTTATACAGGAGCGTGCTGTCAAGAATTTTACTATGGTTCATGCTGATTTTGGTCGCTTGCTAACGGAAGCTTTAAATATGGCGAAAATGGGAGAGTTGTGTGTGGGTTAATAAGAGTTTTTTTGTATTTTTTTTTGATATTTTTATAAAATATACTTTGTAATTAAATGTATTTTCAAGCTAAATTCTTGAAAAGATTGATTTCTCTCCAATTATTTAGAATTTATGTGAAATTGTAGTAAAAATTTCCAAAAGGTGAAAGTTTGAAACAATTTTTAAACAAAATTAAATTAGAACTAGAACTGAACTAGAACTGAACTAGAACTGAACTAGAACTGAACTAGAACTGAACTAGAACTGAACTAGAACTGAACTAGAACTGAACTAGAACTGAACTAGAACTGAACTAGAACTGAACTAGAACTGAACTAGAACTGAACTAGAACTGAACTAGAACTGAACTAGAACTGAACTAGAACTGAACTAGAAATGAACTAGAAATGAACTAGAAATGAACTAGAATGAACTAGAACTGAACTAGAACTGAACTAGAGCTGAACTAGAACTGAACTAGAACTGAACTAGAACTGAACTAGAACTGAACTAGAACTGAACTAGAACTGAACTAGAACTGAACTAGAACTGAACTAGAACTGAACTAGAACTGAACTAGAACTGAACTAGAACTGAACTAGAACTGAACTAGAACTGAACTAGAACTGAACTAGAACTGAACTAGAACTGAACTAGAACTGAACTAGAACTGAACTAGAACTGAACTAGAACTGAACTAGAACTGAACTAGAACTGAACTAGAACTGAACTAGAACTGAACTAGAACTGAACTAGAACTGAACTAGAACTGAACTAGAACTGAACTAGAACTGAACTAGAACTGAACTAGAACTGAACTAGAACTGAACTAGAACTGAACTAGAACTGAACTAGAACTGAACTAGAACTGAACTAGAACTGAACTAGAACTGAACTAGAACTGAACTAGAACTGAACTAGAACTGAACTAGAACTGAACTAGAACTGAACTAGAACTGAACTAGAACTGAACTAGAACTGAACTAGAACTGAACTAGAACTGAACTAGAACTGAACTAGAACTGAACTAGAACTGAACTAGAACTGAACTAGACTGAACTAGAACTGAACTAGAACTGAACTAGAACTGAACTAGAACTAGAACTGAACTAGAACTGAACTAGAACTGAACTAGAACTGAACTAGAACTGAACTAGAACTGAACTAGAACTGAACTAGAACTGAACTAGAACTGAACTAGAACTGAACTAGAACTGAACTAGAACTGAACTAGAACTGAACTAGAACTGAACTAGAACTGAACTAGAACTGAACTAGAACTGAACTAGAACTGAACTAGAACTGAACTAGAACTGAACTAGAACTGAACTAGAACTGAACTAGAACTGAACTAGAACTGAACTAGAACTGAACTAGAACTGAACTAGAACTGAACTAGAACTGAACTAGAACTGAACTAGAACTGAACTAGAACTGAACTAGAACTGAACTAGAACTGAACTAGAACTGAACTAGAACTGAACTAGAACTGAACTAGAACTGAACTAGAACTGAACTAGAACTGAACTAGAACTGAACTAGAACTGAACTAGAACTGAACTAGAACTGAACTAGAACTGAACTAGAACTGAACTAGAACTGAACTAGAACTGAACTAGAACTGAACTAGAACTGAACTAGAACTGAACTAGAACTGAACTAGAACTGAACTAGAACTGAACTGAACTAGAACTGAACTAGAACTGAACTAGAACTGAACTAGAACTGAACTAGAACTGAACTAGAACTGAACTAGAACTGAACTAGAACTGAACTAGAACTGAACTAGAACTGAACTAGAACTGAACTAGAACTGAACTAGAACTGAACTAGAACTGAACTAGAACTGAACTAGAACTGAACTAGAACTGAACTAGAACTGAACTAGAACGACTAGAACTGAACTATAACTGAACTAGAACTGAACTAGAACTGAAACTAGAACTGAACTAGAACTGAACTAGAACTGAACTAGAACTGAACTAGAACTGAACTAGAACTGAACTAGAACTGAACTAGAACTGAACTAGAACTGAACTAGAACTGAACTAGAACTGAACTAGAACTGAACTAGAACTGAACTAGAACTGAACTAGAACTGAACTAGAACTGAACTAAATGAACTAGAACTGAACTAGAACTGAATAGACTAGAACTGAACTAGAACTGAACTAGAACTGAACTAGAACTGAACTAGACTGAACTAGAACTGAACTAGAACTGAACTAGAACTGAACTAGAACTGAACTAGAACTGAACTAGAACTGAACTAGAACTGAACTAGAACTGAACTAGAACTGAACTAGAACTGAACTAGAACTGAACTAGAACTGAACTAGAACTGAACTAGAACTGAACTAGAACTGAACTAGAACTGAACTAGAACTGAACTAGAACTGAACTAGAACTGAACTAGAACTGAACTAGAACTGAACTAAAACTGAACTAAAACTGAACTAGAACTGAACTGAACTAGAACTGAACTAGAACTGAACTAGAACTGAACTAGAACTGAACTAGAACTGAACTAGAACTGAACTAGAACTGAACTAGAACTGAACTAGAACTGAACTAGAACTGAACTAGAACTGAACTAGAACTGAACTAGAACTGAACTAGAACTGAACTAGAACTGAACTAGAACTGAACTAGAACTGAACTAGAACTGAACTAGAACTGAACTAGAACCGTAGAAATATTACCATTTCCCTCTGTAAAAGTTCCCCTAAGAATCCGGAATTAGTATGCCCATAATCATAACCAACTCATTTCCGTTATGCTAATTTAAATTCCCCATAGATAGTGAAATAATGGGTCAAAAACTTTACTCATTCTAGCCACGATTTTCTACATAATAAAATGCGTTCTTTATGCATTCAAATGATCATTGTCTCGCATATGTTCCTAATAAATTGACATACATTTGATAAAAAAAAACGCAGTCTTTGTTTAGAAAGAACTGCTTACTGATCACGTGTAGATCAACTGCATTTTGCACAGTTTATTTAATTTTAAAGGCGTAAAAATGAAACTAAGCCACACAATACTTTATTATGGAAATAAAACATTATCACTTTTTTTATTATAAAAACTAATAATAACAAACAAACATTATAAAAAAAGATTTGCGAAAATCTAAATGATTTATGAAGTCAAAATACAAAACAGACTGTAAATAGAAAAACAAATATAACATGATTTTTTAACTCACAACTTTGTTAGAGATTATTAAATAAATATTAAATAATAAAAAATTCAACTTTTTTAAACAGTTGATGGATCAATATTTACTTTTGTATTAGAAATGCTTGTTAGGTGCGTAAAAATAGAGCAGCATTCAATAACTTTAATATTTATTTAATGCTTTGAAAAAAAATTATATTAGTAGTCTGACTAAAGAACAAATATTGTCGTTTATTATCACATAAGTACATTTCCACACGAGACATGAGACGTTCACATGTTTCTAAAGAAAAACAAATGATAAGCGCAAAGGCTTTGCGATCATGTTGTGCCTCTTTTTCAAAAGTACAGCACGCGATCATAGAAATTTACTTTTTTTTTTTTAAATGCACTCGCATTATGATGAAATAAAATTGAGGTTTTTTATTGATTATTTAAGTATGAAGAATATAGACATTGGAAAATTTCTTAGAAGATAAGAGAGTGTGTAATGACTTGGACTACTTTAAATTATTGGAAATACAAAGTCATTCTTTAATGATTGCAAAATTATGATTTGTTATTAAAAGCCAATGTGTCTGGAGATAAATTTTGAATAAAGATAGAGTTTAAAAACTATTACTTGATTAAGTAAGTTACTGAGATTGTCTGAACAATTGGAGTTTGACTTGGCCATATGAATGATCGAAGCTTTGGCTTAAGGAAAATTTAATAATGATCTAAGTGGTAGAAAGTTAAGATCAATAATTGGAACTTTATTGAGATTTAATAAACCCATATTCAAGAATAATAATTAGTTAAGTATATTGAAGCTTACTTATGAAAAATTATTAAGCTTAAAAGCATTTACTTAGAGATCTACAATTAACTAAACTTGTAACGGCATTTAAACTCAAAGTAAGTTAGAATCAGTGGGGAAAGTTTAAGACCAATTGATGCTTAACTTTGACCAATAAGTAAGTACCTTGGATTAAATAAATTCCAAGTCCAATTGAATCTAAAATACGATTATATAATGATCTACGAATTAATCTATACATAGAGTAGATATAATCGTTCCTGTAGACTTAACTTAGACTACATAAAGGTCAACGGTTAAAGCTTAATTTTTTCTGCGATTCAAACTAACATTTACTTCATTAATATCTATGACGAAAGTTGAAATTGGACTATATATAGATCAATGATTAGAGCTTAACTAAGGCAACGATTTATGCTTAATTTGGACGAAATAAAGATCAACGATTAAAGCTTAACTAAGGCAATGATTAAATCTAAACATAGACTAAATAAAGATCTGCAATGTAAGTTTGGATCATATAAAGATATATGGGTATATAGTAATCTATGAATAAAGCTAAACTTTTAAAAAGATCTCCAATCGAAGTTTTACATAGACTACGATTGAGGCTTAACTTGGACACTGAAGCAAAACTTTCTCTTCATAATGATTTACGATTGGTATTATGAGTTTAGGAAGTCTAAGGTTAAACTCATACAATCCAAACTAAAGCTATGTACCAGGAACTAGAAATGAACTACAGTTGTTGTTTGTATCAGAAAAATATTCTATAAACCCCTCCAAAATTCTTGAAATTAAGGAAATATTCCAAAGATCTTTACCGATTTTTATTTAAAAAGTTATAAAATTTTCAATTTAATCAAATTTTTCC